TGATGGCCCAGGTCTTGGGCCCCTGCCACCCATGTGGGAGACCCAGGTGGAGTTCCAGGCTCCTGGCTTCGGCCTGGCCCAGCCCTGGAGAGTAAACCAGCAGACAGAGGATCTCTCTCTCTTTCCCTCTTTCTCTAATTCTGCCTTTCAAATAAAAAAAATAGATCTTAAAAAAAAAAAAAAACACAATCAGTTCTTACAGAGCATTTGTGTAGTGCCTGGAAAATGGCGTAGTTTTAAGAATTGCAGGGGCCGCGCCATGGCGCAGTAGGTTAATCCTCCGCCTGCAGTGCCAGCTCCCATATGGACGCCAGTTCTAGTCTCAGCTGCTCCTCTTCTGATCCAGCTCTCTGCTGTGGCCTGGGAAAGCAGCAGAAGATGGCCCAAGTCCTTGGGCCCCTGCACCCATGTGGGAGACCTGAAAGAAGCTCCTGGCTCCTGGCTTCAGATCAGCACAGCTCTGGCCGTTGCAGCTATTTGGGGAGTGAACCAGTGGATGGAAGACCTCTCTGTCTCTCCCTCTCACTGTCCGTAACTCTCTCAAATAAATAAAACCTTAAAAAAAAAAAAAAAAAAACTGCAGTAGCAAAGTGCTTGATGGGACAGATGTATGTGCAGAGGGAAAGTTGCAGCCTTCGGTGGAGTGGTCATGCGTGGTGGATACTGGCAGACGCTTCAGTTGTACATTACTTGGCATATAAAATGGGAGAGAGAAAAATCCACAAAAATACATCACCAGTAACACAGGATGGAAGTCTTGTATTTACACTGCTCGATTGTCTGCCATGGTTTGTTTTGAGAAACTTTTTTTTTTTTAAGATTTATTCATTTATTTGAAAGGCAGAGTTGCAGAGAGAAAGAGAGAGAGGTCTTCCATTCACTGGCTCACTCCCCAATTGGCCACAATGGCCAGAGCTGGGCTGATCCAAAGCCAGGAGCCAGGAGCTTCCTCTGGATCTCCCATGTGGGTGCAGGGGCCCAAGGACTTGGGTCATCTTCTACTGCTTTCCCAGGCCATAGCAGAGAGCTAGATCGGAAGAGGAACAGCTAGGACGTGAACTGGTGCCCACATGGGATGCTGGCACTGCAGACGGTGGCTTTACCCACTACACCACAGCACCAGCCCACTTTATGGTTTCAGTACACTCATGATAGGACCACCAGTTTAGCAATTACATTTGAGGCAGAGTGTGAGAACACAAAGGGTGTTTGGCTCAAGCCGCGTGACCAGCAGACTGTAGGCAAGAGTACCCGTGCACTGTAGTGTTAAGAGCTGTAAAAACCCAGTTCTGTTTTCCAGACACTGTTTTGTTAGCTTTCTGAGTCATGACTCGGACACATAATCAATGTAGATGGGAGATTAATGTGGGAAATCAGCCCTCTTTCCACTGGGTCTTGGCAAACCATGTGCTTAGCTCATTTATTGAAAATCTGATTGTGGTGCATTTTCATCACTTACCAAATACCATTTGTATGGAATCCTTTCTTCGTCAGAGGGTTAGTGTTTTATTTGAGAAGAGGATAATTAAAGTGTGAGCTTCGATGACTGAGTGTTGGCAAGGATGTGGGAGGGCCATGCTCTGGCGCTGCTGGTGGAAGCCAGGGGGACGCTGGGCAGTGTCTGTCAGAGGTGCACTTCCTGGCGTCGGTTACCCAAGGGAGGCCAGAGCACGGGTGCGTGACTGCTCCTCGCGGCATTATCCCTCGTGACCACGGAGTGGACACAGCCCACCTGGCAGCCCCAGCAGCGGAGTGGGCGGGCATCTGCGATGATCCACACACTGGGACCCTGGCACAGGAGGGGAAGCAGCCAGATGCAGACAAGTGCTCCCTGGGACCCCATTTCTGTGGAATTCTCAGAGACAGAATGAGTCTGTCTTAACAGCAACAAAACCCTGCAGGTCAGGGGTTGCCTGGCGGAGCTTTCTAGAATGAGAAAATGTGTGTCGTGGTGGGGCTGTCCTTGTTTGGCTGTGCAGGTGGAGGTGGGTGCATTTCGCTGTGTGTAAACGTTGACTTTAAAAGAGAACCTGGACCTCACTGTGCTGTTCCTGAACACCTGTCATCATTTCATTTTCTTAACATATTACCCGTGGGGCAGTTTTTCAAGTTTTGTATCAGAAGTAGACTAGGATGTATGTGTATCCAGTGATTTATTTATTTTTGATATAGTTGGTTGCAACACAGCCATACCTGTTTCTTCTTCTCCCCTCCCCTCCCCTCCCCTCGATGCAATCAGAGCAGAGAGATAGAGTCGTAGGAGAAGCAGAGCTTCAACGAAGATAAGAGTTTTTTACTGACCGAGGGCTGGCATCAGTTCTAAACCGGCGGAACACGTTCATCTACTTACTGAGTTCCGTCACTGGTGATATGAACTTCGCTTGTGTTTGGTTGATTCGATGCCAGCCCGGCGGCAATGGAGACTTCGTGATGAGATGCAGAGGTAGATAAACTCAGTA